CACACACACACACACACACACACACACACACACACACACACACACACACACACGTTACTGTCTAGAAAAATAAAAGCTATCACCGCGTGCATATGCGTTTGTAAACAGAAACACAGGAAATATCCATTTTCATCTAATCACATCCGTGAGGATGGTGTTATTTGCAGCATGGCGGTTGCTCTCCTGTGAGTCAGCTTTTAAAGCTCATCTACAAGTGACGGCTTAAATATCTGGAAGTTGAAAATTCAGTCTGGAGTTTGTAAATTGGTAACTAATGGTCAATCTCACACAGTTTTGACAGTGGATGTCGTTTATCTAAGAGTTATGGATGTTTTCTCAGGTTTTCAAACTCAGATCAGAAAATCTGAGGCGATATTAGAAAAATTATAAAGACTGCTTTATTTTTTAAATAAAGTTCAAAAGTAAGATTGCATTGAAAAATGGATGTGCTGTTATTACTGATGAAGTGAGGTGTAAGTAACAATGTTTGCACTTGACGTGGAGCTAAATGCATGCAAAGACATTTGTTTTTTATTTTAAACTTAGCACAAAAAGTAAGGAATTTTGTGTCTGGTTGATTATTCCTGTGTTGTAACAATGCTTCTTGGCAATAAATCTGACACCTTTGGAAAGCCGTTTATTTCCCCTTCAAATGTTGGGACATTTGTAAGAAACAGGCATTAGTGGGTTGAGCAGCTTGTTCTGCTATTGACTCTTGATTGGTGTCATTTGTTGGGTTGGATGAAGAGTCTGAAGTCTGAAGAAATAGGACACATTGGTGATTTAACAGTTTATTCATTTAACAAACAGGGACCTTAGTACCATGTGGAAAAACTATGCACAGCCACAACAGGTTGGCACCTCCCCCTCATGCTGGCCACCAGCTTGGTCACACACACTTCACACACTTCTTCAATGCAGCATTTATCACAAGTCACCTATGGTGGTTGTGTTGGTCACAGAATAAGGTGTTTGGCACTGGCAGGAAAGATTTGGCAAGTTTTTCATGGGTGCAACCCACACACTCAACTCTGCTGCTCAACCCACAAATGCATTCTCCAGAAAAATGGCAAACAAACCCATAAATATCAGTGCCTTTATTCATAGAAAGGCTGCATAAAAGCATTATTTTTACAGTGTTGTTTTTATTTAAGGGGGAATAAAAAGACTTTCCAAAGGGATCCCATTTATTAGCAAGAAGCATTGTTACAACCACGAAATAATTGATCAAAGACATGCCAGCTTTATTTTAATGACCGTTTTTCATTTAAGCCTGTAACTCCAGCACTAACACTACTCTCATAAATTGTGGAATTCAGAAATTCAATTTGAGGGGAAAACTAAATAAGTACCTGCATGCCAGTTAAAGTGATTTTTTTGTTTAATAAGTCATTGTGAGAACCTTTTTGAAGAGCAAAAGTTATTTAATTTGATTGCACAGAGTTAGGTTAGGATCGGGGTCATTACTGATGCAAATTTAGACCTCACAGAGTTCACTCATTTATTAGTCTAAGAGGACAGTGAAAAATATCAAAGAGTGGAGCTGCTTGTTTTCTCTAAACAGCATGTCAATTAATTAAGGGGGGAAATTTATAAGCCCATGACTGTCTGTCTGTGAAGTACCTGTAGCTGACAGTGAGGTTATTATAGTTAACTAAAACTAAACTAAAGACTAAAAATATATGTGAAGAAAACATTTTAGTTAATTAAAGTAAAAATAAATAGACTGTTAAGGAAAGTTAACTAAATGAAATTATTTTTTCAATTAACAAGTGATATAAAAAAGATTTGTAAAAATATCTTTGGTTTTAGTACTTGTTGACCTTGTAAAATTGGTTATCAAAACTTAGCTGATGAAGCGTTGGTGGACGTGTTTATTGAGACTTTTGTCATCTAAACAACTGCTTTTAAAAGGTTTTGTGTGTTTTACTGTAATACCACTGCTGGTTTTCCTAAATCCTGCCTCTGACATATCTCCTCCATTCAACAAAAGAGTAAACTAACGCTGACATTAATAGAAACTTACCAAAATGAGCAAATCTACTCTGGAAATTAACTGAAACTCAACTGAATTTTAAACAAAATGTGAAAACAAAATAAAACACAAACTTGCAGCTCTCAACTGAGTGAATGTGAACAGCTGCACCACTCTACAGAGGACTGTTTCCATTTCACTGTGTTTCTGTCTAAACTAGAGAAATAAAAAGGGAACAGAAGGAGGAAAACAATTTAAGAAGCACTGTGGGAGCGATGTGTAAACCCTCAAATACAGAACTCTTTCTCCAAGTAAAGCAATCCCAACAACAAAAACTTGATTTTTAAATTCCTTAAGGAGTGGTGCCATCTTTATTGAAGATTCACACTTAGTCATCTCTTTCACATCTTTCTTTCACATCCCATGTTTTCCATTTTCGTAGTTTTCCGTGTTTCCTGTATCCCCCTGGAGTCCCCCATTACTGCCTGCTGGCTTTGAATCCCCTCTCTAACGTTTTTCCATGTCAGTCGCTCTTCTCTACATTTCCTGTCACATTCTTTCAGCCAGCACTCATGCACCTCTCATGCTGTCACGGATGTCATCTACAGAGGGTTGGACGCAGAGATCAGGTGGGCTGGGATCCTGACTCATGTACAGGGGCTATTTCTGGATGACCGGGGGTCGTACAGGGGAGGGGAGAGAGATGGTGATTCACACCTGCACCATCTCAGAGAGGCGGGTGAAAATTATGTTTGCTGCAGGTGTCCTGGGGCCACTCTGACAGACACTCGTCCGGACATCACACAGGTGTGTAATCCCACAGGACTTCCAGGACACACCTATTAAGTAGTCTGTGCTGTAGAGGTAAACACACACACACACACACACACACACACACACACACACACACACAAATACTCAACCACAATTCCTCTGAGTATGTGTGAGACCGCTGACTTCCCATGTGAGACATGTCCTGCCAGACGGAGGTGTGTGATTGACTCGGAGGAAATCTCTGGTCATACCAGTGGAAGCCGGGGACAGATGGAGGTATGGCTCTGTCTCCATGGCAACAGTCTCCTAAAACCCCATTGAGGGGTGGGAAGCAGGCAAACAGGGACAGCTTTGAAAGGCCAGAACTGAATCTGCATTCAAAGAAAATGTTATTTCAAGAGAAATGATTGATTCTGTGTGTGTGTGTGTGTGTGTGTGTGTGTGTGTGTGTGTGTGTGTGTGTGTGTGTGTGTGTGTGTGTGTACCTGTGTGCCACCATCCTGTAAAACGCATGTTTCAAACATGCGTCTTCCTGCAGAGCTAATGAAAACATTCCTGACAGTCTTTAATTTTTCTTGTAAATCAGGAGTCTTGGAGTCTGTCAGAGTGGCTTTGCATGATTCACAGTTTAAGTGTAGCCCTCAAGCTCATCCTCTGTCTGAAACAATCTGTCTTAACTCCTCCTGTTTCTTATTGGCTGTCTAATGCAAACAGCAGGTTTGAACAGCAGGTAGCTGTGCTTTCTGTGCTCACAGCCAGAGCTGAGTGCCAGAGATAACTATATTAGCGATATCCCCTCGTGCTGACGTCATACCCCTTGGCAACTTGAAGCTTCAGCTACTGCCACAGATTTTCTACAGGACTGGGGTCTGGAGACTGGTTAGGCCACTCCATGACCCTCACATGCTTCTTCTTTAGCCACTCGTTGGTTTTGTGTTTTAGGTCATTGCCATGTCTGGAAGACCCCCTCAGGACAAAGGTTCTTGTCCAAGATTTTACAATACATGGATTTTACAATCAACTGGTCCCTCAATGCAGTGAAGTCGTCCTATACTTTTAGCAGAAAACCATCCAAAAACATGAAGTTTCCACCTCCATGCTCGACTTTAAGGATGGTGCATGGAGCTCCAGACTGAGGGTGATTTGTGGTCATTTGATATTTTTTTTCCATTTTTACATAATCACACCAAGACCTGGTGGTCCTGTAGCTCATTCCAGCCTTGTTCAGGTCTACAATCTTGTGCCTGACGTCCTCGACAGCTCTTTGGTCTCACCCATGGAGGTGGAGAGGTTAGAATGGCCAAATTTTACTCTGTGGACAGGTGTGCTTTGTGCACATTAGGACTATATCCCAAACTGATTGATTGTTTGGTTATAATCTGAGGGAGCCCAATTCTGGTGGGTTTGTAGGGGGTCAAATACTTATTTCACTCACTGACAAGCAGTTCAATTTTTAACTTTTATGTAATGAAAATTTTCTGGATTTTTAAAATTTTTTGGTTGATATTCTGTTTTTCTCCATTCAAGTAAAACTACCATAAAATTAGCATACAAGCTACAGTGCTATAAGCATTAATATGTTTTTTAATACCTTTAAAAAAAGAGAGGTTCGTGAAGAGTAAGAAGAAGACAAAATAAAGAAGGTAAAATACTCTCAAAGCCAATGAAAATGGTTAAGAAAACAAAACTTGTGAATATGATGTACGTAAATAAAATTAAAAGAACTGCATCAACAGCTGAGGTCCATTTTCCATTTGAAAGACTGTGTGTGTGACGGGCTCCGTGCTGCTTGACATCAATGCAGTCACTGCGACCAGCAGGACACATTCAACACTGAGCTGCCAGCCACAGCCGAGTCAGGAGGAGAAGGGCGTGGGATTTTTCAAGGAAGGGAGTTAATTAAATTGACTGTCGATGAGAGATTACTCATTACTGAGCAATGTGTTGGTATGGGGTGGCGCGAAGATGAAAAACTACATATTTGGTCAAACTTTATGAAAGCTTTGTCTACCTGAGCTTGTTTTATAATATAGTATATAATATGTTTTAGTGTTTTGTGTCACACTAAACACAACAATGACATTTTTTGAAATTTAAAATAAATTTGACCTTTGATCAAGTTCAGAGGTGCAATGTAGTGCGCGAGTGTATGAAGCAGAGTCCAAGAAAACAAGAGTGAGGTTTATCAGCTCATGAGCCTGACTTACTGCATCAATGATGAGGTGTCAGCACCACCTTCTGACTTCCTGGAACAAACATTCAACCAGGGAAGGAGGAGATAGGGCCAATCCTGGGGCTGTCACACAAAATAAAACTCTACCTAACATTCCTTAGCTTGATAATAAGAAATCTTTCTAATATTAAAAAAAAAACACTTTTAAGTAGAGGCCACAGAGCTAAAAGAAATTGACAGATTCAAAATATAATGGCCTTGAAGCATTCAGGGAAAGTCTGCACACTTTCATTGACAAGCTGTACCAGCTGAAGTAAGGTCATGGCTTGAACCTCACGGCACAGTAAAGCCAGAACCAGTAACTGGAATATAGACATGACTGGTTGTGTGTTTACACCTGTGCTTTTGCACCATTTGACATTTACTTTGTAAAGAAAAATACCCGTTATACTGTCACACAGTCAGCCTGCAGACACAGTCACTGAGGCTGTGTGGACACGAGGCAGGTCGCCCAACTTGTTACCCAAGCAGATATGTGATGTTTATATGTTAATATAAACATATATGTTGATAAAGAAATAAAACCCATTAAACAATATGTTAATAAATATTTATATTTATTATATCATAGTCTATCATCAAGTACTCAGCGGTAGTATAAGTACGTAATCAAACTTTAAATACTCTGGTGATTATAATTTTACTACACTTATTATGAGGTACTAATTGTAAACTTAAGCATGCTAAAATTAATTGCATATTACGCTCAAAACATTATATACAAACATTGTTACCCTATTTACACCTACATTTACAAACATTTACATCAATTATATGTTAAACATGCATTTTTACATCTAAATGTAAACGTTAACAGTTGAGTTTAAATATTTCATGTAACTTTATTAAATCTTGAATATAAGCGTTACATTTAAACTGAATCCGTATAGAGTAAGATAAATCGGAAATCCTTGTGCATGCGCACAAGAAGCTGTACTGTATTAGTGGAGTGAACATGCTGACGCTGTCCATGTTTTGCTTTTAGGATAACAGAGGTTAGGCCAGCTGCATCAGAGCGCCCTCTAGCCGTGGAGGTGGGGAAAACCTGCAAAGATACCTGGACCAATGGAAAAAATGGAAAAGCTTTGATATTTGTAACAGTCATACATTCAAATTGTAAATAAAAACAAATGACCGGTTTCAATTAAGAGGTGAAAGTAACATTTGAATGCTTATCATGATCTTTTTATACTTTACATCAAATAACTGAGTTCTTTTTAATTAAAAGGCAGGCCAATTTAATCAATAAATCAAAATCTTCTATAATGCTTTTGAACTCAGAAGAAAGGATGAATCCACCTAAATACACCTGCCATTTTAGAAATGTGAATCAGTTTACTTATCTAGGTATTCAGATTGTCCCGAAATTGGAAGAGGTGGTGAACCATAATTATAGTCCAATTATGACTGACATATCCAAATCAGTGGAGAGATGGTCGAGTCTCCAAATTTCACTGATTGGTAGAATAAATATACTAAAGATGAACGTGCTCCCTAAGCTTCTGTATCTGTTTCAGAATATCCCCTTGCCACC